AGGTAGGACTCAAGATGGCTGACCCAGGTGCTAGTAAAAAACAGGTGGTTTTAATGGTAGAGATTACAAAAGAAAAGGGAACAGAGTCAATGAATACATAACACCAGGGCTGAGCAAAGATGGCAGAGGAGAACAGGACAAACAGGTACAAAAATCAACTAATGGCTGTCAGAAACGGCACGCGTAATGCGGCTGAAAAATGTTAGGTGAACGCAATTAAATGGCCAGACGAGGAAGTGTAAAACAAAACCGTCTCTTTATTAAGAGAACTAACATTGAACAAAAGAAAACCATACAAGACACGGTGAAAACACAAAACTCACATGTCCTTAACAGTCCGAGGTCAGAGCCAGCAAACACATCCAACAGAGGTGATCCAAAATACGTAGTCCAGAGGGAAGTCCGATATCATACACTGTGGCAGTCCGAGACAAGAGGGCAAAGCAGAAACGAATATACCAAGGTAACAGTCCGGGTCAGAAACACAAAATACCAATACCAATACCGAAGAAAATGCTGGAAAGTCAGAGCTGGGGTCTAGAACAATCTGGCAGTGTCCTTGTGGGAGGACGCTGCCTAAATAGAGGTGTAAACAGGCCAGCCACATTGACCTGATCAGTGTTTGATTGTTGTGTCTTGTTGCTTTTTTTCTTTTCTCTCTCCTCTATCTACTCACCCCAACAGGTCGAGGCAGAAGGAGAGGAGCTTGATAGCTAAAAGCTCTGCCTCCCATTCTAGACCTTACTTTGTAAAGTGTCCTGAGATGAATTTTGTTGTGATTTGGCGCTATACAAATAAAATTTGATTTGATTGGACAGGAACTGTCAGCGTGGAAAACAAGGTCAAGAAACACACCTGGTGTATGCACATACTCAGGGTCAGTGAGTTCATTTTTATAGCACATAATCTGGAGGTCTTACTGAATTCATCATATAGTAAAATACATAAATATCACTAAGGTCACATTGCTTAGATCTCTTCAACCCTAAGACCAGAAATTGATGGTGTGCGAGAATTGTGTCTGAAAATACCAAAAGTCTAATTAAAATAATTATCCTGTGCTTTTGTCAACAGGGCTTCTATGGCTGTTTGCTGCAGCATCAGAAAATAAACATTAATCCTTGTGTCAGGAGCTCCAGTCCATCCAGTCAGTCTGTCAATCCACAGTCAGTCAGCGTTCCCCTGACCCCCGAGCTGGGTCTACAGTACACTTTTCACGGTAGCATTCTCATCCTCTCTTCTTCTTTTCTAACCCCTTCAGGCTCACTCTTTTATCTGCATGTTTCCTTAGGCTGTTACGTCAATTTCTGAACTTAGCTTCCTGTCTCCAGTTTTGAGAGACAACACTCTGAGATGTACTCAAAAACAGGAAACATCTTGACCAACTTATATAAGCTCATTGTTCAGCTCACATGAACGTAATGAACCCATATACACTATTTTATCATATAATCCATATTAACATGTTACTTAAACCACTACACTGTCAAGCAGAAAGTGTCTCTGCATGTAGCCACTCAGAAACCAGCTGATCGTGGTTTCAGCTGTTGATATATAGGCCCAGTCTGAACATCCTCCCTAGGGTCTCGAGCCCTGAACCCTCAAAGACTTTAGTGACGTCACCTGTAAGTGACTGAGTGCAAGAATCTGCAAGGGCTGGAAACTGTATAAATAGGAATGGGACAGCACTTTGTGACTGGCTACCACAGCACCATGATAACGCCAAAACAATGCCATGGTTCTGACTAGAGCTTTTTATTTAAATTTTTCACTTTCCGCACGGCCAAGAAGCTTCAGGGACCGACTGGCTGGTTTGACGTGATCCAGGCTCTCGCCTTACAGAGTGGACGGGGAGCAATCATCAGTTACCTAACGTTTTTGTCAAAATGGCATCGTTAAGCAAAAAAGAAAATAAATGGCTGAACTAGGTGTGTAATATAGGATTCTTGTGTTACTCAGGAGATGCTTTTGTCCAGTTAACATAAGAAAGACTGTTTACTGTTAGTCTTCTTTATTTTTCTTATCTCCATTTTATGGCATTTGTTTACCTTTTTTACGCTTCCAGCCTTCGTGGGTACAGTGGGCTAGTCCTGTGTTTCACGTCACAGCGTCCCTCAGGTAAAGTCTGCAGAAATACAGACTTAAGCATAAAGACTTGAGCATAAAGGGTTCAAAATAAAGGCAAGAGAGCCCTCACACACTTGACAGTTTCAGAGTGGGACATCCCTGAGCTCTCACAAACTCAGTCTGTGAGACTGTGAGTGTGGATTTTGGGATTAGGGGACAGTCTAGTCACTGGGCACACGAACACACACCTATGTTGGATGAATCAAGTTTTTCTAATCCACAACACAGGTGGGGGGGTTGAAGAGCCGATATCCAGATAACCTTAGCTGGCATTAGATATAATCCAAATTTGGGTTCATACCAGAGTCAGGTACATGTCAAATCAGCATGACCCATAGTCAGAACTGTCACAGCTGAGAATGAGACAGATTTTTCTAACAATGAGTCAGGTGCACTTGTTTCTCTGAAGCAATATTTTTAATATAACTGTAATTGTTTTCATATTCTTCTGTATGTTAAATTTATACTATGAAATTTGTTGCCTGAAGGTTTTCTTTTGCACCTACCTAGCTTATATATTAACTGCTCTTCTCTCCTCAGTCATTGGTTCTTGTAGCCATGTTTATTGCCATTATGTTTGTCTTTATGGTCAACGCCCAAAATTCTTCTTTTCATAGACTAAGACATTGCCTCTCCCAGTGAAACAGCTGTTAGGCTTTTTTGGCACCACATAAAACACTTCATTCTATTCTTATCATTTACTGACTTTCAGTACCTGGTAATAACTGGGATTATGATATCGTTCACCTCAAGGTTTTATGGCAGGGCTTTGGGAACGGATTGTGAGAAGGCCACACACATTATCAATTATTAACAAAGTAGATAACTTGGCTGTTAGACAGTCTTTATGACAGCTGTTCCTCCTGTTTTTATTAACCGGCTCAAACTGTAAATCCTGTGACTCTGTTATTATTCACATCCTCACTTTTCTTATTCTAGTTGACCCTTTCTTTAGATCATGCCTTTAACACACATGCAGTAGGAACATAGGTTTGGTCAACTTACGAGCAGTGGTTCACCACAGATCTTTCCTCCTGCAGATCAGATCGCTATACCAGACTTTAATGCTGGAGCCATGGAGAACTGGGGTCTGATAACGTACAGAGAGACAGCACTGCTCTACGATGAAGCATTCTCCTCCACCTCCAATAAGGAGAGGATCACTACCATCATTGCTCATGAACTGGCTCATATGGTTAGGACAGTAAAAATAGTATCACTTTACAGGGCCTATCATATGGTTGTCACTGTTTAACCCCTTGTGATCCATGCTTGAATCAATTTGAAAAATAACTTAAAACTGAACAAAAATATTTTCTTATCAAATGTAGAATAATTCCACATAACCTGAACAGAGAAATGAAAAAGACTTAAGACATGAATGCTTTTGGCTTTAAGTTGAAAAAGATTGAAGTCAAGGTTTTAGGATGTTAAATCTCAGTGCAGTCCAAATCAAGTCCTCATTTTCTGGACTAGTCTGATTCAAATCCAAGACACAACATGAGGGCCTGTGAAGAGCATTCATACATTTTCTCTGTGCTGTCCTGCCAGTGGTTTGGTAACCTGGTGACCCTGAGGTGGTGGAATGACCTATGGTTGAATGAAGGCTTTGCATCCTATGTAGAGTACTTAGGAGCAGATGAAGCTGAGCCCGACTGGAATGTGGTAAGGATTTTTTTCTTACCTCATAGCGTCAACTGACTAACTTCATCTAAGTCTAATGATAATGACAGTGATTGGTGCACTTTTGAGCATGCTGTCTTTTGGACTCATGACAGAAAGACCTCATCGTGCTCAATGATGTCCATAGGGTGTTTGCAGTTGATGCCCTGACCTCTTCTCATCCCTTGTCTTCTAATGAAGATGACATTCAAAAACCAGCACAGATCAGTGAGCTGTTTGATGCCATCTCATACAGCAAGGTAAGCTCACACATGCACATACACACACAAACACACACTCAGGCCTTAACAGCAGCAGAACAAGTGTAACATCTCTCACCCTAAGGCCTTTTCTTTCAAATATTTAATGCAAGCTCCTTTCTCAACTGATCTTGAAAAACACTGACATTTGTTTGTTGGCCTTCAGGGAGCATCTGTTCTGAGGATGCTGTCACATTTCTTAACAGAAGAAGTCTTCAAAAGGGGACTCACGGTAAGGATGTCATGGAAACACAATGTTTACCGGGCCAGAATACTATACGATGATTCAATCTACTTTTATCTGGCACTTTAAAGAATCTTACATAATGGATCCTTGGCAGGGTTTGTGTACACAACCTTAGCAAATTAAGTCACTGTCAGTGACATGGCAGAGTGCATTTGATAACTTTAAAAATCTGCAAAGGTAAGCTTTTAAGGATCAGACCACTCAGTGGTGGATCACCAGCAAACAGCTGATCATTAACTGTGACCCTGTCAGCCAGAGTAGCCCATCGACTATTATGTAAATGTAAAATATGTACAGTGCTACTTTTTGGAGTGTATACTCTGATCTTGTCCTTTTCCACAAGGAAACACAAAATTGAGTACAGCGGGCAGTGGGGGGAGTGTGGGAGCAGTGGGCATAGGCTCAGAGTCAGCTAGTGGACGGGGAGGCTTCTGAAATGTATTCTGAACTGCATAGCTTTCAGGTGGGCACTGTGGCAGCAACAGAGTTAGAAGACGACTGACAGTTTGAAAACACCGCCACAGAGTTTATAGTATACTGACGGTATGTTTGCCATGTGGATCTCAGGTATGGGTTGTGTATGAAGGCCACGATATGCTAACCCCTGGACATAGGAATAAAGCTTACCTCTCACACTAGGTGGCATATTTGAAACATATTAAAGCTCCAAACACTGCTTGAGGTTGTATGACGGAGATATTCACTCAGTAATTGAATACCATGAACCTGCGAGTTCCCTGCAGACCTCCCTCTTTCATGTTATTAATTCAGGATAAGACCCCAAACCTCCCAAATAACAACAACCTGCAGTTTATTGTGGCAGCTACCCTCTTAAACCCTCAGATGTTACAGTACTGAGAAATTTTTATAAGCCAGTACACTCTGGCTCTTTGAGGAAGTGTTAAATTTTGTCTGAAATAACCAATGAAAGCTGTATCACTGGACACTTAAGACCATATCTATTTTGCACAGTATTTAGTTGACATAAGATGTTATTAAGGAAATTTAATGAAATTTAAAGAATACAGTAGTGTATATTATGTAACAAGTAAACAGTTGGATATTTTAGATAAACACTTTTTTTGATATAACTTTCTAAGCACCGCCTCCCTTCGCATAGTACGGAGTTCACCCAAGCAACAAGCCCAATCAGAGAGGCACTGCCTCTCTGAGACACTGCTGAGAGGGTTGGCATACTACTATTAACACTGTGAATTGTGTAATTGAAAACTCACTGGGAATTGTGCAATATATGCAACTTTAACAATTACCACTTAAAAGTGTAGACTCACTAAAATCATAAGAATCAGCATCATCAAAACTTGACTCAATAAACACAGAGTATTAAACCTTTTCAGGAATTTTATACAGGATCTTAAAAGAGATACAGCAAAGTAGCAAAATATAGCATTAAAATCATTAATAATTGTCTTGATCGGCTTACAATCTAAATAAATCCTCAACTATTATTTCTAAACATAAATCTAAAATGATCATACTGATTAAAATTCATCATGGTTGAGCTTTCAAGACACTGAATAAAAGTCAAAGGTTTGCTCACGGTGGTTTGAGTTGGTTGGATTGTGGCTTTTTGTTGAAATCTTCATTTCAGATTAAATCCTCTTTTAAACAAGAATTCAGAGTTTTCTCTTGCTGAATCATGAGGCTTTGGCTCCGTTCCAGTGTCCCTCGCTGTCATTCCGCTCTCCGTAGGGCCCGGCGGGGAGAAGACGCAGCCTCCTTACTATTTCGGCTGTGTTCCTTCAGTCCCTCGGTCTTCTGGATGTCAGGAAATCAACCGGACAGAGCCTCCGGCTGCAACTGTGGAAGGACTCCCTCGTTCCTCTTTTTGCCAGGGTTTTGAAAGGGTTCTGGTCGGCAGACTCAGTCCCTTCATCCAACCAGATGCCACAATTTGCACTTAATACCTTTTTTGCCCTGCACACCATCGTTCTTCAGAACTCATTTGCATATTGCGTTCAGTATTCTTGTAACTGTTCATGACTGATTTTGACCGGTTGGATCCAGCCTCAGATTTTACTTCCCCTTTCTTTAGAAAACGTATCATCTTAATACTTAACACAAGACAGAAAACCCACTTCTGCTTGAAATACAAAAGTTACCATTATCGCTTTCAACTGAACAATCAGAATTACACACAAATTTTTCACAAAATCATCGATGCCCTAAAATCAAAACATGGATCTTTATAGTTTGAATACTATACATAACTAAACATAGATTATTAGACATTGATTAAACATTTTTTATCAATCAAATCTTTACTTTATACATGGAACATGATTTTTTATTACTTTCTCAGTGTTTTTCTAATTTTTTTATCACACTCCTCTCTCTGTCATACACACATAACTTCACTTCCCCTATTCAGGGATGTGTGTCTTACATCCTCTTTTCTGTGACTCAGCATTCTCCACTCTTTGTGATGAAATTGGATATAAAAGCACTTTTTCACCATTCCATGCAATACATTCATTTTACATTTTATTCTTACACATTCTTTAATGATTATTTCAAACAAAACACACGTAAATCATCTCATTATTATCCTTACTTTATGCATTCTGTCATAGCGTTTTAATATTTTTTTCTCTCTCTCAAGTCCTCTTGCTGCTTGTTGCACACATCCTTGCTGTTCTTGTGTGAATTCTGACTGTAAAGAGACAATTTGCTCAATAGTCTTCTGCAGCCCTTGTTCTAAGGTTTCTGATGCCAGATGATCAGAGGCCAGCTCTGCTGTTATGGTCTGTTTCCTGTGCTCATTAGCTCTCTCCGGGACCTGTTTTTACAGGCTTGCCGACAGTTGCGTGAACTGGACCACCTTGCACACTTTGCCTCTGTAGCTCGGGTAAATTGGTTGCTGCATGGGACACAATTAATGGGGTCATTGCAGCTTCGAAGGTCAGCAGGTTACAATTTATTTACACAAAAAAAAAGAGTAGCAAAAACAAAACACAGAGTAGCAAAAACAAAGGCTAACAAAATACAGAATAACAAAAAAGGGGGAAACAAAATACAGCAGTGGGATTCCGCCAAACGCTCACCAGTCCCACGTTGGACACACCGCCTCCAGCACCATCGGCATATAAGTCCAAAAAAATCATGATGCTCCACTCTCAAGCCAAGTCCAATGCAAAAGAAAGAAGAGACCACAATGCATTTGGTCAAGTTCTGGCGAAATGTACACCTGTCAGTCTGCACTGCCATCTAGTGGCCAAGACATTATGTAGCATTAAACTCCAATAGCCCACTGTAGGTTACTTTTACATATCAACAAAAATGAACTTTGTCATATTAACATGAAAACCATAAACATTACATGACAGTTGGATTGTTGAAAACATTTAGGAAACCTTTCACCATCAGTGGAAAACAACTGAGTTGTTTATTTATCTCCCCTTAGTATATGTTTACCACCTGGCTACACCTCACTTACTTTTCAGAGGGTTTTTGTTCTTCTTTGCTTTTGGTGAAACTATTTGCCTGAAGTCTTGATTCAGCACTGAGCAGAAGCAGAAGCATTCATGGATGTTGTCTGTGGCCCCTTTGAAGATGCTCCAGTTGGTGGCCTCTAGACAGCCCTGCAGGCTGGCCTGTGCACAGTTGTTCCAGGTGTTAACAGTTCTCACTGAGACTGATTTCGCCTTGAGCTGTTTGGTGTAAGCAGGTTTAAGCCAGATTGCTAGGTAGTCAGATCTACCAAAATGAGGCTTAGGTTCAGCTGAGAAAGCATTTATAATGTTACTGTAACATTGGTCCAGTGTTTTGTTTCTTACTAGAGGAAACAAAACATATGCGCACCAGCTAGAATGGTGCATGTTTTCCCCAACCAAAAACCCTGGTTTAATAGGAATGTAAAACAAAAAATCAGGGAGATAAGAAGCTTTTAAGTCAGGGGACCAAGTGGAGTACAGGAAAGCCTGGTACAAACTACAAAAGTCCATCAGAGCGGCAAAGACAGCATACGTCCAAAAATTGGAGAGCTACTATATGAATAACAGCATGTGCAGTATGTAGCAGGGAATCCAGGCATTCACAAACTACAGGAACAAATCGACAAACACAGCCCCCCAGAATGCCACCTTCCCAGACTTCTCAACAACTTCTATGTGAGGTTTGACAGGATGAGCACAAACACCCCCTCAAAATCCCCCTGCGACCCTGGGGACACTGCTTTTCAGGTGACGCACACAAAGGTCCTGAAGGCCCTGAAACAGGTAAACCCCTTAGAGTGTTGAGAGCCTGTTGGGATCAACTCACTAGTGTGTATACAGACATCTTCAACCTGTCCTTAACCCAAGCAGTAGTTGCTGATGACACCACCATTCTGGGCCTCATCAAGAAGGGGGACGAATTGGGTTACAGAAGCTTGGTGAACGACATTCTTGTTTATGGCGAGGAGAATAACCTCATCCTCAATATAAACAAGACAAAAGAAATAATAGTAGACTTCAGGAAGAACCCCTCCCCTGTGGAACTGTGGTGGAGAGGGCTGACAGCCACAAGTTCCTGGGCCTGCAGGTGACATCTGACCTGAGCTGGTCACTGAACACAGGTGCCACAGTGAAGAAAGCCCAGCAGTGGCTATACTTCATCAGGCGAGTCAGAAAAGCTGGGTTGAACCGCCGCCCTCTCACCCAGGCTTATACTGTATAGGACCGGTAGAGAGCATCCTCACTACTGGCATCACAGTCTGGTATGGTAACACCACACAGAGAGGAAGGCTCTTCAAAGAGTTATAAAGACTGCAGAAAGGATCATTGGGACTGAACTGCCTGCTATGGACACATTATACGCACAGTGCTGGTTTTAATAGGGCAAAGAACATATTCAGAGACCCACACCACCCAGCTCACTCTCTGCTCAGACACAAAAACTGCACCTACAGCCTCAGGCACAGCAGGGCGGACAGTATCATCAGAACTAGACTTTACAACAGCTTTTTCCCTGCCTCAGTAATGGCAAATACAAAAATGTGAGAATATATGTGCAATAACCCCTTACTACCTCACCAAGCGTAATGACATATCTATATAAGTGCGATATTTGAGGTTCACTGGGGAAAATTACCCTATTTTTTGTGTATTGCGGTTTTAATGCTTTGTTGCCTTTATGTAACTTTTTTATTTTAAGACTAAGTGTTCTTTCTGGCCTTTGACTCCTTACCTGACACCAAAGGAGAGCTGCACAAGAATTGCTATATGCCTAGACTGTCTGGTTATGCATAAATGGCAAATAAAAATCTTGACTTGACTTGAAGCAAATAGAAAGCATCTGTCTTCACCTTGTTTTCTTCTTTTCTGCAGACCTACTTGGCTGAATTTGCTTTTAAGAATGCGGTCTACACAGACCTATGGACACATCTCCAAATGGCATGTTCCCCTCTACAGACACTTTACATATGGGCATTTAGCTAATTTGTAAACGATAACTCCGGTATATGTATACGATCTCCAGTATATGTCAACCTAGATCTAGCTTGTCATATCTTCTTTTTCTTGTTGGTCTACTACCATAGGCTGTTAATGCTACTGGCATTTTACTTCATGACCCTGTGGAGAATATCATGAACACCTGGGTGCGGCAGATGGGCTTTCCTGTGGTTACAATAGACACTGATACTGGAGTTGTATCCCAAAACCATTTTCTCTTGGATCCAGACTCCAAAGTCACAACTCCATCTCACAAGTATGTGCACTGCCTTCCTTCCATTCTGCTCTACACCGCTAAATCAGTGGTTATTCTTTTCTCAACTGATATCATTTACCATTACAAATACAGTATTGCATCCCTTTTAACTCATTTTGCTGCTATTCCTGCTTATACAACTATACTATTACCACTGCCTTTTAGTACTATTATACCCTCACTACTACTATAAATTCTAGTATTATCAGTAAAAAAAATAACGCTGCTAAGATTTTCTTTCCTCTACACATTAATGCATGATAATGTATTTTCATTGTAATGACACTGTAATACAAATGATAATGGCTCCCTTTTCCAGTTCTTAAAAGGCAAAGTACAAACCCCATTTCCAGAAAGGTTTTCCAAAATGCACTAAAAACAAAAATTTCTTGAACCTTTAACTGACAAAGAAAATGTTTTAAATGTCTTCACTGACCAACATAATTGCATTTTGTAAATTAAAACAAATGTAGAATTTGATGCCTGAAACACACTGACAACAAAATTGGGAGGCTGAATAAGGCTGAAATATTACTGTATTCCAGTTTCACCATTCTGGAGGAAGTTCATTGTTAACTGGTGAGGGTATCATGACTGGGTAGAAAAGGAGGATCCACCAAAGGCTCAGTCTTTGCATTGAAGGATGGGCCCCACTGCGCCAAACTTCATGACAGAATTGTCACTCATTAAAAAAAGAATATTTCCCAACACAGGATTTCAAACCATTTAGGTCTTTCACCACTTATAGTACATAATACTGTGAAAAGATTCAGAGAATCCAGGGAAATTGCAGTGAATAAAGGGCAAAAACCACACAAGCTACACAACAGTTCTGTGCAGAAAAGCCGGTAAGTTCTCTGGGCTCCAGCTCATCTCAGATGGACCGACTGTCAGGGAGTGGCGTGTGCAGCTTCTGTTAATGTAGAGGTGTGAACCCAATTAAAAGGCCAGTACATGGAGACAACAGAATGAAGTTTAATTGTCCGTGTGGGAGAGCTCAGGTGAAGGAGAAACAGTCAAACAGGCAGAGAGGGCAAGGCAGAATCTTTGGTCGATTTTTCAGGCAGGGTGTCGATAACAGGCATAGCAGTCCAATAGTAAGGATGAGGCTGGGTCTCTGGTCGGTGGTACAGGCAGGGTGTCCATAACAGGTGTTGCAATCCAACAATAGGGGCAAGGCAAAAATCATTAGTCAGTTTAACAAGCAATGGAATAACGCTGGGGAGTCTAGGCTAGGCAAAGAACAATCTGGCAGCTCCCCACAAGGTGAGGAGCTGCTACATACTGAGGTAAACTGGTGTGAGTGATTCACCAGCAGGTGAAGGCACTTTAGAGTGATGAGGTACAGTGTCTGAGAGTTAGGGTGAGCTGGGGACAGGAAGCCAGCGGGCCAGATCATGACACCGACAGACAGTAGCAATGTGTTCTGTGTTCAGAAAAGTCCACGTTTACCTAGTTTTCATGAAAAAGAGACAATGGGTTCTCTGTGCCAAAGATGAAAAAGACCATCCAGACTGGTATCAATGAAAGGTGCAAAAGACGTCATCTGTGATGATATGGGGGTGCATCAGTGCCCATGGCACGGGTGACTGCCATACATGTGAAGGTACCACTGACAGGGGTTGTATATTGGGATTTTAGAGACATAAGCTGCCATCAAGGCAACGTCTTTCCCATGTTTCACCAGGACAACGCCGGGCGTCATTCTGCACATGCTACAACATTATGGCTTCATAGGTACAGAATGCGTGTGTGTGCTACATTAATGTGTGCAGTCCACATCCGTCTCCTATGGACAATATATGGAGCATCATGAAGAGGAGAATCCGACCACGGCCTGTTGAGCGGCTCAAGTCTTGTATCTAACAACCATGGGCCAAAACTACAATTAGTATCCTCAGTTCCCAAACAGTTAAAAGGTGTAATTAAGAGGAAAGGTGATGTAACACAGTGGCAAACAGGCCTCTGTCCCAACTTTGTCTGAGTGTGTTGCAGGCATCAGATTCTACATTTGTTTCTATTTACAAAATGCAATTTGTACTTTTGTCAGTTCAACAGCGGTTCAAGCCAATCACAGATTTTAGTTTTTATTACATCTCGGAAAATGTTCCAACTTTCCTGGAAATGGGGTTTGTAGATAAACAATAAAAATGTAAACTATAGAGACATAATAATAATACACTTGTCTGTCCTGCAGCTATGAATGGATTGTTCCAATCACTTGGATGAAGACTGGTGTCAAGAAGGAACTAGTATGGCTGAGGGAGAAATCAGGTAGGCTATCAGTTGCTGCAGGCCTGTGCTGATGGTCAGGATGAGTCCAGTTGATTTATAAACTCACTGACTAGAACCACATGTCAAAGAAAACACCCTTTCAGGATTAGACTATTAAGTCATAATAATGCAATAAAACAATAGAAACATAAAAATAAGCTCCAGAACTGCCTAATGACTTACCTCAAAAGACCTTTGTCACTGTCATGCAAGAGGGTGTTTCTGGTCCTGTACCTCAGTAACTAGGGTGTGTTTTGTTGACACCCACAACCTGATTTCAGAACCAGTGTGGGAGATCAGTGAACTACATGGAATTAAAGTAATAGTTGAACTGCATTTTGCAGTAGCTTGCCAGTAGTTCAACTACATTCATAGTCATGTAGTGATTGAAGTATTTAAATTACATGTTTGCCATTTTTTGTATAGTTAACTACTGCAACTACAAATACTTTGGGGCCATAAAAGGAAATGAATTATTCTTTAAATTTTATTCTGTTATTGCTTCTCTAACACCTAACATAAAAACTTTGAGAGACTCCTCCTGTCGTATAAACAAGAGAAACTGCTCTGGGGGCAGTAGTAAAATCTGGGCACATTTAGACCAGTGCTCAAGCTGTTCACCTGGTCTAAAAGGCCAAGACCCTTTTGGTTGTTGAACTTGTACAAGTCAGATGTTGGAAAGCTGACTAGTAACACAACAGGCTCATAGTTTTTAGACTGGCACTAGTCAGTCAAATGGTAAAAGTACACTTATAAAATTAGTTTACAAGAAATATAGAATATCACTGTGAGCAGCGCAACAATGTTTTGTTTAGGACAGGTTTTTGTCTCAGGTAAATAAACTCAACTGAGTTTTCTTGTATTGTGTTATAGTTTTGTGTTACATGTACATCATCAGTTTGATCATTTTTTACAAGGTAGTTTGTTACTTTTTCTAAGTAGTACAATGTTGTCTGGCTCAGCTTTGCAGTATCTGATTTATAACTGCCTGGAAGATGGAACGTGCACAGGAGACTCCATATGATAGACAGATATGGTGCCATTTTATTTGAAGCCCTTCAGACGTATTTGGTGCTTCTGCACAGCTCTGCATGGACACTCCTCTCCAAATTGCCATTTATGAGGACAAGATCCTTTGTCAGTTTGAGGCAGATCCTTCTTGTAACTCTCTCCATTTCTTCTATTATCTGGAGTTTATGAGGTGGAGTTAGACTAGTTTTGGATAAATGTAAATATTTTGCTCAAGTTGAAACTTTTTGATGATACAAACATGTCATTAGCCTCAGTTCATACAAATGGGTGGATGTGTCTGTTGACTTTTCATACAACTGAGCCATCTGTGAAATTAGGTTTGAGGAGTTTGTGAGAATCACTCCCAGAGAAGAAACAAAACACAAACACTGAAACTGAAAGAATAAAATTAGTTTAGTATGTTACATTTTCTTGGTCTTGTGCCTGACAGCACTGACTCTAACATCTCTTTCTTCTGTAGACACATTTGATGCAATGAGGGCAACAGGGTCTGAATGGGTGCTGGCCAACCTTGATGTTGTGGGTTACTACAGAGTCAACTATGACAGAGGCAACTGGGACAGACTCCTAAGCGGCCTGAACACCAATCACATGGTAAAACACAACTGTTTGATGAACCATGTGCTTCCCTGTGCTGATAATGAATGTGTTCCTCATGCTGTTCCTCTAGCAGTGACAGCGATATTGTTCTTTTGTTTCAAGCTTATTCCAGTGATCAACAGAGCTCAGCTAGTGGATGATGCCTTCAACCTGGCCAGGTAAGTCCTGCTAACACAGTATAATATATAGATAATTATAGTAATGTAGAGAACAATCTGATAATTGATAACTGACATGTAGAAGAAACAGCTGCTGTTTTCAGCCAAGCCAAAACACATTACATTAATCAGAGTTTATGGGAAAAAGATGGCTTGCATTTTGACTCGGTACATACTGTACGGCTAATCTAATTTACAATAGTACACAACTATTTTGGCAGTATATAGAAAGGTAAAGCTGAGAACACTTAAGACTATTAACGAATAATAATGAAGAACTTTAGGATGTCCCATTAACTTTCACAATCTTGTGACCCCAAAGAGCAAAGATTATCCCCACAGTGCTGGCCCTCAATACCACCAAGTACCTGAAAAATGAGAAAGAGTATATGCCCTGGCAATCAACCTTGAACAACCTGGACTTCTTCTACCTCATGTTTGACCGCACCGAGGTTTATGGTCCCATGCAGGTGTGTTTTCTTTCTGCTAAACATACTGTATAGCCGAAACACTAATAAATTACTCACATTTTTCTGATCTAGAAAGAATTATCTCACTTTCATATCGCTCTCCTCCTTGTTTATAGGATTACCTAAGGCAACAGGTCACACCTCTATATGACTACTATAAGAACGTAACTGACAACTGGATCAAAATACCGGACAGACACATGGACCAGTGAGTAAAGAGAAACACTGCTGCTCTGGAGATCATTGTTATTAGGAGAGGCTATGACAAAAAATAACACTTGTAAATTGGAGAGTTACAGTGTAAACAGGCCAAGCTAAACAGATTATCCTTGTCTAGATAAAAACCATGTTGTGATATATTTTAGTAAATATATCACAACATGGTTTTCGCTTTTGCTCCTTCTAGTGCACTGCACAAACACCCCAGTTTTACTTCTTCCTCCTCTCTTTGTTCCCACACAAGAAGCCACCTTGGTGGCTTCTTCCTTGGCTCATGCTGATACTCCTCCTGCTTCCTGTCTCTCCTTTCAGGTATAATCAGGTGACTGCTATCAGCCTGGCTTGCAGGACAGGTCTGGGGGAATGCCAAACTTTGGCCGAGAGGTGGTTCAAGAACTGGATGGACTCAGGGGAAAACCAGTGAGTGTATACATCAATGTGCAACTTATTTCCTACCCATTGGTTTAACCAGTCTTTACTGTACTTAAAGTGTAACCATACTGCATGTCCATCATCTGTGGTATACTGACCTTTAGAAATGTCATCTTTCTGCAGGATCCACCCCAATCTCCGCTCCACTGTGTACTGTAATGCCATTGCAGCTGGTGGTACTAAAGAGTGGGAGTTTGCTTGGTCAGTGTTTCAGAATGCCAGCGTTGCTTCAGAAGCAGAGAAACTGCGCTCAGCCCTGGCCTGTACCAAGCAAACCTGGCTGCTCAACAGGTCTGCTCTCACACAGCATCACTAACGCTGCCATACATTATACTACAGTATAACGGACAATTAATGACCAGAACACACACACGCTCTGCCTCTGTTCTGGCTGCACCCTGTAGGTACCTGGAGTACACTCTGGATCCAACAAAGATCCGAAAGCAAGATGCCACCTCCACTATTGTCTACGTCACTAACAATGTGATCGGACAGTCTTTGGCATGGGACTTTGTCAGGGCTCGGTGGTCATACATTTTTAATGAGTGAGTACAACACAATGCCTAGTCACTAACGTCACTGCATTTCCATGAAACACATGAAAAGGCACTTGATTTTTAGTCTATGACATTTTTAAAAATGAACCAAGTTTGCTTTTCATTACATTTTGTTCACAACATGACAATTTAAAGTTGCTGAAGTTGGCTTTACAGTTCTGAGTAAACAGTTGCCACCTTCACACATTAATAGGATCCATTGCAACATAATGGTAAACGATCTTATATTTGTATAGCGCCTTTCTATGCGTTACAGCACACTCAAAGCGCTTTCACACCATTTGGCCATTCACCCATTCACACTCCCAAACACTCACACACCGGTGACATCACCGGGAGCAACTGGGGGTACAGTGTCTTGCTCAAGGACACTTCGACATGTTGACTGGACAAGCCGGGAATTGAACTGCTAATCTGCCGGTTAGGAAACGACCCGCTCTACCTCCTGAGCCACAGCCACCCCATAACCACATGATGGCAGTCAGGCAGTTTATGGTCAGGTTTACTGGCACTAACAACTTTATGTGCTCTGCTTACATGACCTTTGGACTTCTCATAAACTGAGCAGATCACCTGACAGAGCATAACACATGTATCACTACAGCCAGATTGAGATGGTGGTAGGGCATGTTACTCCAATGTAGATTTTTGTTTGTTTGTTTTTTGTAATTTTGACATATAACTAGCACAACATCCTTTGGGCTATAGAAGATTCAGAATCAGATGTTTCAAAGACCATCCGTATGTGAACTGTAGATGCAACGTAATGTGAATATCTTTGACAGACAAGTTAATTGTCTCAGCCAGCTGTTTGGGTCAGACTTACAGAAGCATGGTCAGTTCTTTTATTTTTGTTTTCAATAAACTGCGGATAATTGCTTTATTCAAAGACCTGTAAACTAAATGTAGTCATTTAGCCAGCTAGCTAAAAACTGCGTACACATGTATTGTGTATCTAGCTGCTCTATAATTTCTCTCAGGGTAACAAATGTCAACATAAACAAGATATATCTGCACAACTGATTAAACTAAACTCACATCATTTCAGTCTTTCTATAAAACCATTCGTATCATATTTGATACGTGAGGTTTCTGAGCAAAAAAAATCACCAAAAATGCCCCATGTATCAAATGTGATACAAAAGCAATAGCAATAATCTAAATAATATGGCACCTCTATTCCTATATGCCTGGACTGTCTGTCTATGCATATATGGCAAATAAAAATCGTGAATCTTGAATTTCGAATCATGAATTTTATTTTGGATTTTGTTAAAAGGTTTAATAAACATCTCAGTTCCGAAAAATTAGAATGTTCTGGCTATTTTTGGATGTGTCAGGCTTTACAGGGTTAACTATAATAAAGAAAAAGATGTAGGCTTGTGCGTTACTTTTATAATAAAGAGTAGCTTAAATCTAAGCCTGGTTTTGCAATTCCTGTCTCGTTGATTATTTGCCTTCTAAGAAATACGTATAATTTTGAAAGAGATGATCTCTGTTCACTGAGAATGAGACTAAACTGTTACCATTAACCACATAAAGCTGCTCTGATTATCTATTGCTGTATGTCTTGGCTTTGTTTCCACTCACAGGTATGGTGGAGGATCATTCTCCTTCGCTAACCTCATCAATGGAGTCACCAAGCGTTTTTCCACAGAGTTTGAGCTTCAGCAGGTTAGATATCTCTATATGTCTTTATATTTTTTACCCAGATTTATGCATAATCATACAAACTTGTACCTCTGTTTTTGGGAAAAGCAACTTTGGAAAGGGGTACACAATACAATGTTTGCAACCAATTCGTAACTACAGTACATGATGACTAGAAAGGAGGAGCCTATGTTTTCTTACCTGTTTCAGATCAAGATGCCATTGTTAAAAAAAAAAAAAGAAACAAATCTGCCACAATCTGCACTGTGCATGTGCCTGTGAATCTCTTTGCGCCTGTCGGTGTTAGATAGCCAAACTGTGAATTTCGAGGAGTGATCTCTGTGCATGATTGTTCATGTTCAGTCAGTCACGTGTTTCATGACATGAAGCACTCCTCATAAAACCTCTGCGGTGCATGTTGCGTTAAGTTGGCAGAATATGCTGTAGAATTTAATGTTATTCAGTCTTTAACACTGCACGGTAGCATCAACAATTTTATGAATTGTTGATGAACTTCTGTTGCTTTGCATTTGTTACATCTATGTGTTATTTTTTTGCTCATAGTGTGTATCAATCAAGCTAGCGGTGAAATACACAAGTCTACAAAGTTTCCCTTACTACACTATGAACACCTAATGGTAGTTTGTAATTTTATTGCTCAGGCTGTGTCACCTACATTTAAGCTACATACTGTACATGTACATACATGTCATTTGTCTGTGTGCCCAGTCAAGTGGCCTTTGTGCCCAATACAGAATTAAAGGCCAAATGGCCTTGCCCTCCAAATTATCAAATTTATGGCCTGACAGCAGCCGTAACTTAAAGAGGCAGGGCTTAGTGAAGGGTCAGATCTCTGCATAAATAGAGCCACATGTCAGCGATGTAAAACTGTTTGTGACCAGACAGGCTGTAAAGTCGACTGATCTGCTCCTATGTATGTGCTTTAAGAAGACAGACTTTTTGATTCATCTTTGTGTTATTTGTTGCCGTCTGACCTCAAATGCCTGCATCACTTTCTGAAACAAAATGCTCATTTTGTTTTGTTTGTTGTGACAGCTCAAGCAGTTCAAGGCGGATAACGCTGACGTTGGATTCGGCTCTGGTACCCTGGCAGTGGATCAGTCCATTGAAAGAACCATGGCCAACATAAAGTGGGTTGCAGAGAACAAGCAGAATGTTCTGGACTGGTTCGAGGCTGAAGCAATATCCAAATGATATACAACTATATATACACAGCTTACTCTGTATTTAGTTGTATGTCATGTAATTTAAAAATGTTCCTTTTTCCAACAAAATAAATCTTGCCTGGAGATTTCACACAACTTCAGTTGAAAGAAAATTTACTTAAGTGCAGTTTGTGCATCCTGTTGTACCCAAATTAGGTTAAGATTCAGCTGGAAAAGAAGAATCCCAGTGTATTTCACATCCTTGAAAGTATAAACTAGAAAAGTTAAAATTTCAGAAGAAATTTTAGGTGTGCTTACACCGCCCAGGCCACTGTGGGCTCACGTGAGTCCTAGGTCATTGCAAGTTTTGAATTAAGCCCCTACATGTAATATTAGCAGAGTAACAGACCTTAAAAGAGTAGTAGTATACTGTATGTTGTTTGCTGTAGCGCCACCCACTGACCAATTTGTGGTCCTCTCTGTACAAGCAGCCCAAATTTGATTGAAACGGAACTGAATAGTTAGAACCTTCAAATCTAATACATCCCACCCAGTCAAATCTGACTGCAGGAGAATGGTAAAGGAATACTGTGACAGGCCCCAGTGTTGTTTCCAGGGTGTGCACCTTTTGTTTCCCTTTTATTTAGTCTGAATTGTCAGACAGCAGGAAATATGCACAAACATTTTAGCTACAGGTTCTTCAGTGAGTGCATTCAGAGTACACAGACACAAGTATCCCGGTTGTGAAGAATATTTTAGTTTTGATTATATTTGGTATATGGAGTTTACATGGAACACAGACAAACCTGATGTACATGACAAAACTATCAACATATTTTAACAGCTTTGAATTAGGCTTCTACGTGAAATTAGAGAAATTACAGCTATAACACCATTCACTGGTAAAAATTTGACATTCGGTGCACACACAATCTATGTTTGGTTAAAATAAACCACTACAAAAGTTGTCATGTGAAAGACCATTGTTAATGTTGTCAAAAAAACTGATGAGAACTGTTCAACCATATATTTTTCACAACAAATATGAGACTACAAAGAAATAAAGAACATTCAAAAACAAGAACCATGACAAAATGTAGTACTTCTTTGTCAGTGAATAAAATCTACATGATAAAATGAAAAAGGGAACAATGGACATGAACTAATGCCATGTTAATGTCACACAGTGTAGCAAGTGATGATTAGAATTCCTCTTTTGTTTGAAAGTTGAATTAGCCGCCAGTTGCACTACCATTAAGAAGCTACTGTATGAAGCACTGCAGACCAGGCACACTTGTTTTATGCTTGTCTGAATCACATGTTTTATACAGTTACAACAAAATACAATTTAATGAAAATCTTTTTCTCCTTTTTTGCAATTTTGGATTTTTGTGATATCATAATGTTAGTAATAATGTTATAAAACATGACAAATAATGAAACATACAGTATATCCTCCTTGGCCTTTTATCAGTTGAACAAACTAAATTAACTATATTTTTATACTGCACTTTTTTTATTGGTGTTGAATGCATACAGGGCATATTATATAAAACCGGGTGTCTAGTGATGTTCACGCTGAAACCGAGGCTCTGTGTCAGGTCCGCTTGGCGCGACCTGCCTCTCTTCTGCCTTTCTCTCTCCTGCTCGCTCTTTTTGCGGGATCGGCGCCCCAGCTGTGTCGCTTTCTGTAATTAGTGACTTGTGGGTTTTCGCGCACAGCTGGGGCGCATTAAATGGAGTTTTTCCTCCCCACTGTCGCCAAGTGCTTGCTCAAGGGGGATTTGTTGGGTTTTCCGTATGTAATAATAGTGACAACAGTAAGGTCTAGACCTTACTTTGTACAGTGTCCTGAGATGACTTTTGTTGTGATTTGGCGTTATACAAATAAAATAGGCGAGGATAGCTGGGTTAGGGGAAGAACAGAGGATGAGAATGCTACTGTGAAAAGTGTATCGCAGACCCGGTTGGGGGGTCGGGGGAACGCTGACTGACTGTGGGTTGACAGACTGACTGACTGACTGACTCTGGACTGACTGGCGCTTCTGAAATTTTCTTATTTAATACTTTATCTATCACACTGCAGGAGGAGTGACCTTGTTCTCTGTTTCCCTAACTACCAGATTACCTGTTTAACTACTACTCTGTTCAGAATAATTGTAATATTAACTGATCATTTAAATTGGGATGATTTATCTGAATTGATTTGGTCTGTATCACATTCTAGCCACGACAAAAACAAGATAAATAAAACCCTCGCACCGTTCACTCAAACGGTCTACCTCAACATGTCCGTGTCTAACATAGTGTAATGCTCCGGCAACGATGGAGCGTCTGCCAGAGGTTTAAATAAGGAGGAAGGTATTACATTAACGGAAGAAAACTCTGACAGACCCCGGCTCTTGGTGGGCGGCCTTCTGCCTCGACCAGTTGGGGTGAGTGGATAGAGGAGAGACAAAAGAACAAAAGCAACAAGACACAACAAAAAAATCAAACACTGGTCAGGTTGATGTGGCCGGTGACTGCTCATCAGAAACATAAAACTCCAGGGCTAGGGCAACCTGCAGAAAAGTACAGGGAGAGAGAGAGGACACACTACGGGAGAGAGGAGACACAAAGTTAGTGATGTGTAGTGGCGGCATATAGAAGCACAGGGAGAGAGGAGAGGAGAGGGGAGGGGAGGGGAAGAGAGGAGAGGGGAGGGGAGAGAAACTCAGAGCATCATGGGGCCCCTCAGCAGCCTAGGCCTATAGCAGCATAACTAAGGGAAGGCTCAGGGTCACCTGATCCAGCCCTAACTATAAGCTTTATCAAAAAGGAAAGTGTCGTGGCTAGAGTGTGATGCCTACTAAATTAATTCAGACAAACCATTACAATTTAAAGGATCATTTAATATTACAATTATTCTGAATAAAGTAGTATTTAAACACATAATCTTGTAGTTAGGGAACAGAGAACAGAGATCAGAGAACAGTGACTCTCCTCTTGCAATGGAATAGATAAAGCATAAGAAGATTGTCAGAAGCACCAGTCAGTCAAGTCATTGGATGTCGGTCCCGAGTCGGTTCC